CACAGGGCCTTCAAGGCCTCCTTGGAAGTCAGAATGCCTGAGCTAGGAAATGCCAAGTCATGATGACTCGGGCCTTAGAAGCCCCTCTCTTCCGCCTTTCGGACCCTGCTTATCTCTCTGTAAGCCTATAGGTCACTTTCCCCTGACCCTTTCTATTGGACAGTTTTCAAAACCTCTGTAGGGTATAAAAACCCCTGATTCTGCCTGGTTCGGCAGAAGAGCTGTCACTGAGAACCTTCGTGGGACACCCTAATAAAGAATCCTGCGGAACCTTATACAGCGCTTCTCATCTCTCTCCCCTGCGTCTGCTGCCCTCGGCCCAAGCAAGCCAAAAGAGCTGATAATCACACAGAGCTGATAATCACTAAGAGCTGAAATCACTTAAGCTTGCTTGGCTGCCTCCAGCTAGGAATGGCTTGGGAGATCGGACCAAGTCTGAGCCTCCACTGAGACTATCCAGGCCTCGGCAGTCCACCGGGTGCAGCCCAGCTGGAACCTACCGGCATAGGAAACCACTAGATTCTGTACCTGACATCTAATCACCACATTTGTTACAGGGAAACTAAGTCACATACAGAGGAAAACTGAAGAAGCAACTTTGGTTGGTGTCCAACCAGGAAAACCACCACTACAATTTTATCAGTGGTTTAGACAGAAATCCCACTTCACCTGGTAACATCTAAGTTAGTTGTTCGATTTTGGGTATAATTGATATTTTCAATTCTACATCCCCAAGAACACCCAAGCTCTCTGTGAGTCACTAAAGCTGCTCTCACAGCTTACTGCACCTATAACTGCCACACATCAGCAAACCCCTAGGCCTGCTGGCTTAAACTCAGGTGATCATAAACTGCAAAGCACTTTAGAGGTTTTGACAAAAGAGATTATCATTTCTAAACCCTATATTCACAAAAAGGTAGATTGCATTCTCAGGGTCCAACAGCTTCCAGTGCCAAGACACACACCATTGCCAACCAGATGGGCAGATGCAAACTGCATCCTCATGATCCATCACATATCCCTCGCTACATCATTGCTGCAATATTTATAAAGTTCATGAGCACTATGTCAGTGAATTATGTCTTCATGCCACTTTCTCTTAGATTGCACATCTACTGCAGGAACTTTGATTTTCAAGCTCCCTTACATTCCAGCACAGCAACCTGCTGGGGATTTATGGGCATTTCATGGATGTTTAATGAGGCTTACACTGTAACCAATCTAAATAACTTTTGATCATGGAATTCTGAAGCACATTCAGTAAAGCTGATGGAGCCTGAGACACCTCGAGAGAAATACTGAATGAATCAGAACAGTCAGCTTGTCCTGTCCCTCTGCTGCAGCTTTGCTGGTGAATACGAGACACACATATACACACAATAAACACTCCCTGGTTTATTTCTGGTTCTCTCAGATTTACAATGTATTCAGGATGGGCAGTAGAGACTCACTGATACATCTCTGTAAGCATTTAAACATATAGATCAACTTTATTATCTGTCAATTTTTTATCTAAAACTCTGATTTTAACGAAAAAGTAGAGTATAACAAAGACTTGAAAGCAACATTTTAATATGGTATTTTAAGATTACTATTTACTGACATTCTGAAGGGCAAAAGTCTCACTCCTGGAAGGTATTTAAATGCCTAAATATCTTTGAGCACCTAGATGCCTCCAAAAGGATTTATATTTGCAAAGGAAGCTATTAATGTAATGTAATACACAGCATTTGAAAGAGAGACAAGATAAGAGTTACACGTGTGCAGCCTTAAATCTGATGTGTTCCGTATCTGGCACCTAACACATGTAACATCCTTAAATATTTTGAACAAGGCTTTCCTAAAGTTAATAATAGAATGAAACACTGATCTAGTTTCTTAGTAAAGCTTTCTGCTTTAAAGTCAGATACCCACAAGCTCCTGAAGAAGGAAATGAGGCAGAAAGGAAAGAAACTTACGTGCAATGCTCTAATTTACAATGAAAAGTAACAATGGCTTTTCCCCGTTCAAGGATCTGCTGTTACAGGTGCTTATTCAGATATACCCTATGTTTAAAATAAACCTTCATGAGTTTAAGATTAATTTAATTTTCACAAATATCCATGTGTACAACATGTTCCTCTGCAAACTTGTACAATCTAAACTGTAATATTCTGAAGCCTAATTTTCCCTTCACAGCAGGAGTGGTCCTGCTGATTAGCAGATCTTTTTCAAGCTCAAATCTACATATGTGATTGATCTTCAAAGTCTCTTTTGCATAAAAAGCCATTTTTCAACTGTAAATGCTTGAAGAATTCTGCTGCTGCTTGCTGTGCTCTTCTTACACTAACCTGTGCTGTTGTTGAAGTCATGCTCACAAGGGAAAACTACTCTGGAAAGGGGCAGGAGGTAACTGGATCACTGGAGACAGCACCATTTTGTACTTCTGATTCTTCCTAAACATTACTAGCCAGCCATGGCCACAGTCGGGCTCCCAGGGCAGGAAATCCCTCAACAGGACCTACTATGGTTGTTCTTCAGAGCAAGTATCATCACACCTGAAGGTCTCTTACTTATCCAGGTTTTATTTCTTCAGACTAATCCAGGAAATAAATCAGCTTTGCTACCCCATCCTCTTTATTTTCTTTCTGACTTCTCCATCTACATGCTTTGCAAATTTGTTTCACTATAGAAAATAACTGCTGTAACATTTAGGGTTGTCTGGCCATTGCCAATGGAATTGGCATGGAGAGCTCTGAATTTCCTGCTCCATGTGGTACTTGTGCAGAATGCAGGTCAGAAAGCAAAATCATTCAGAAATCTGTCTTGTAGTGTGCTGAATGCAGTAGTAATGTACCTGTAGCTTTGCTCCCACTGCTAAACAGGGTAGTAAATACTTCAAATTGGAGTGGATTCCAGCCTTTTTGAGTGTAGGTAGTCGGCAATAATACAGCATTCTCATTTTAAAATGAAATTAAGCTGTCAGAAATATTATCTCTGTGCCAAAAGTTACATGGAAGCTTACTGACACCAATCCTCATTGTTTGTCTCACTCACCCTGTTGCCAATGAGGTTCTGTCTCTATTTTTGCACTTTGAGTTAAACAGCTGTCAGTTTTAACTTATTTGTAGAAACTGGTGTGGACAAATTAGTTCCTATCCCTGTGCTGGTCATCTTGAGATTAATGGGAAATCCAGAGCTAGCAGTCAGAGGGGTAAGTAGTCTGAATAGGAGAGAAATGCAATCTACCAAAATCACAAAGTAGCCTCAATTTTTGGATCTTGTGACCCATACTTGTGAAGACAATAAACAGCCTTTCTGTGCTATAAAGAACCACAGAACTGCAAAGAGGTTCTTGTTCTTAAAAGAAGAGAAACTTGATGGAACACATTGGGTACTTGAAAACCTAAATTTTGACATTTCCTGAAATACTGCCACAATAAAGGTCTTTTCTTTTACAGTGGAATCTAATGCTACATATTTCACCATCAAATATTAAGTAACAATAAAGTATTTGGGGGTGCAAAAAAAATCCCGTCCCCTGTGCCTCTTCCTGCTAAACATTCCTTAGAGTTATACAGAAAAAGAGGGAATACAGTTTTCTCATTTGGTAAAAATCCTGTACTGTCAAAAGAAACAGGGGTAAGTTTCTGGTACATCCTGATGTCTGAGGGGTTACACAGACCTTGCTCAGACACCATCAGAAGATGACATTCCCCAGTGGGGAATAGTTGAGTTCAGCTGAGTTTGGGCACTTCATGGTCCTGTTCTTGGTTGAGAAGTCAGAGAATCACTCTGCCATACACATGATGTACACAGGCCTGACCTATTACTTTGCATGTCTTATGTCCAGTACTGATTGTTTATTTAACCTGGGCTGTTCTGCTAGAATAAAATTCCTGTCTGGATTCCAAACAAAAAGATAAGCATGCCAGCATTGCTTCAAACTCACATTTCCCTGGAAAGGTTTTCTTAGGGGAAAGGACTGTCTAAATGGCTGGTGTGCCCATTCCCCATTTTAACCAGTACTCAGAAGAGATGACAGCTCTGCCTGACACCACCTGCAGCAGCTCTAGCTTGCAGTTACTGGTAGCTTTATTCATATTTTGGTTCCCCAAAGCAAGGCATGCTAGAGAAATCTGGATTTTTAACTATCTCGTCACTTAATAGTTATTCTTTGCATTAAAACAGAAATTTAGACACTACACTGCATTGAACAAAGCCACTCTCTCCAAGACAAAGCAAAATATCTGCTCAAAAAAAAAAAAGAATGTTCTCATGTTTACCTGCAAGAAGTGTCAGGCTTTTGAGGGAAAGATCAGAACAATGCTAGGTCAGGGAAACAAAAAGATGACTGCATCCTCCTTAGTCTGTGCAGGAACAATCAGCAAGGACTTCAGCTGAGACTGAACTTACTCTCTTTGCTTTTCAGTCCTGGGCTTGACTATCAATTTCTTTTTTGTCTGTAGCAGGCAGTGGCCCCAGAAGAGAACAACCAGCTTTAAACATCAGTCATTTGTCCCTGGCCTCCTACAGCCCATGAGACAGGAAACAGCATGATCTAAATGGTCTCAGAATGACTCCTCCCACTTGCAAACCTGTTTCCATGTTTATTCGGGCACGTAGAGAGAATCACCAGCTGGGAAGGCCATTCTGCCCAGCAGGAGCCAGGTTTTACTTTAGCAATATCCTTATTTACTTCAGCAACAGAAAGATAGTGACACTTAAATACAAATTAAGATATACCAAATAGAAGTCCTAAAAATAACACCAAGAAAATAAAGCAAGCATGCAGCTGGGAAGCTGCAAACCTCTGTTTTCCTCCTCTCACACTGTATAGGTAATATATTTTTAAGTTCTCTTTTAGAATATTCACCTACAGTGAGACAGAATTTTGGAGGATGGCAGACATATGTATGCATTGATATACTGCAAGGCAGCAACAATGTAAAAAAGAGCAAGAAAAATAAATTACTAGGCAGCATAGAAATAGAGACTGCAGCCACCGTCCCAGCCCATACCTTTTAGAGTTGCCTTCTTAAGTACCTTCATGGCATAAAGCTGGCCTGTATCAGATCCTTTTATCTTCCTGACTAGAAATACCTGTAAAAAGCAAATGTTTTGTACAGATGAGTACTAAATTTCTACTTACAAGACTTACTGCATTCGACAGGAGAATAGATACTATGGTACAGGAAATCTAATGAAAATTACTAGCTGAAAGCATTTCGTATCTATTTCACTTGCAATTGTTTGAACTAGCTTTGGAAATTTTCAATTTTTAAGCCTTTACCACCTTGCAAAAAACCATTTTCAATATTTATTAATTGACGTCATATATCCAGTTAAAGATGGGTGAAAAGTTAGAATCAGTGAGCACGTATCTCTTCATATTCTGATCAGCTTTACATGAAAAGAAAAATATGTCTCATTTGTGTCTAGGAATGTGCAGTGTCTTAACATTATTGCCATCAATTAAATGTAAGAAAAAAATCAATTTGGTGCCATTTACGCCTAAGTCATGAATAGCAACTTGCCTAAGATGAAGATGAAGCAGAAAGTTCATACAGCTAAAAATCTGTTGTTATTATAAAAAAAAAGACAGTTTTTTTCTGTTACAGTCTCCTATGCTTCAACTTCTGACAGTGTGAAATTTTAATTAAAATAAAATACAATTTGTAGCTAACCTTGTGCTCTTTTTATTGTACTACATGCAAATATTTCTCATGTACCCCTCAGTGCATCTGAGAACTGGAGGGGTAGTGAATAACAGGATCAGTGGTTCAGTTTGGTCTTTATAAGACTTTCAGTGTTTTAATAATTTGAAATAAAATAAACAACTCTTTTAGCTGTTTCCCAGGACACACTGTCTGCTGAGGTCAGAAGTGTGACCTCAGAAATTCTCAGAACTTCAGAAGTCAGGGAACAGTGTCTCTTTTTTTTTATTTCAGCACTTGTGTTACTGGACAGAAGCTGAAGTAAAGCCAAATGTAGAAATAAAAATATAGTCCCACATACATACAGTCCCATATAGTCATTAATATACAAACTAGCAAAGGCTAGGTGCAATTATATAACTAATGAATGTCTATTTGGATTAAAAATTCCAATTATTTTATTAATTGCCTATCCAGGAACCATGCTGCTTTGTAAACTGTCTCCACCTAAAATAGAAAAAGCAAAAAAATAAGGAAAAAGTATGTTTCTAGCACAAGTTTTGCATGTTAAAAGACTCTTCCTCCTAAAAGACTCCAATCTGTAAACAGATTAGATTTTCTCAAACCCATTTGAGGAAAGGATTGTGGGAAGGGAGAACAACTGCTATCAACCAGGTACAGAAGCTCGGAAGGGAAAAAAAAAATGAAGGTAAATTTTCAATTCTCTCTGAACAACTTAATCAGGACTCTCACATCTGACAGCACCACAGCTGCAACACTTCTACGACATGATCTGATAGGGTTTTGATGAGCCTCTCCTTGTCAAGGTGTTTCCTGTGCATAGGAGATATGCACAGTTCCTCAGCCCAGCTGCCCTGACTAGCCTAGCTTGGGCATACGCTGCTCGCTCCCAGCTCCTGCTTCCTACTCTGATGAACATGCAAACACCTCCAGTGCTCACAACTGTAGGAAGAAATGATGAAATCTGGATGCAACAGGTACATGTAAGTCTTTCTGAAGTGGTTTTTGTTGTTATTAGTAATAAATTAAGCTCAGGTGCTCCAGCATTAACAGGAAGTCAATTAATTTAAAAGTTTACAGAGGAAAGTTGGGATGTTTTTCTATCCAGGTCAAGTAAAAGATTTAATTTTTGTATTACATTGAAAAGGAGAAGAAAGTCAAAACCAAGGTTTTCCAGACACTAGATTTTCAACTCAGCTGTATTATTATTTTTAAAAGCATTTATGGGCTCTTTACCCCAAAAAAACAAAAACTCAAACCCTTAAGATAATGGTTTTCAGCAGCACTGCACATAAAACAGCACAGCATAGTGCATCTGCAGAAATATTAGGCTGCAGTTCTAGAAATATTTTGTCTGCCCTATAATCTTGCAAATCTTGTAATACCCAGATTGCTGTAATAAGCAAAATTATCAATTTACATTACCAGTCATTAGTCAGTTGTTCACTGTAGCATGGGACAGGGCACTTGTCTGCGTTCCCTCCAAAAGAGATGTGTTCTATTTCAGAGGACATCAAAATAACCACCAAACCAGAAAGGAACAAATGAAAATGTGTTGTATTGCAAAATGATGTCACCTTTCTGATTATTCTTAAATGTAATGCTACACATTGTTCTTCAAACCACCGAGTAACCCTGAAGTGCTAAATTGACAGATTATATTAGCTGGACTATACTAGTTTGCCAGAATAGCATGTGCATGTGGCTGAACATGACTTTAAATTTTCTAGTTTGATATGTTTGTAAGATTATTAACACTTGAACTAGCAAAACTCCCTTAGCTGGAGCAATTGGTGCATCACCCAAAACCTGATATAAAAAGTGAAGCAAGCACTCTGTATCTCAAGAGTGTTGGGGACTCTTCCTCTGACACCAAAGACATCTTCTCTAATTATTTACTTCTTGGGTGAACAATTTGAAAACTTAATGGTTTGCATTCCCAGAGACATGGATTTGAACCATTAGCTCAAATACCAAGGTGATGGAAATGTAGGTGGCTGGGGACTGCATAATAAACACAGAGCAGACCTCTCTTCCCCATGTCTTTGCTGCTCCAGGGAATTTACTGATGTTTCTCACATAAGATATGGAAAGTGATTTGTTTACAAATCACTTACAAATCACATGTGGCTCCAGACAGGTACATTGTCCACACTCCCACTCAGATGCCCAAGAAATCAGACTTCCTTTTGGGAAGTGGTTGCACAGACCAGGCATTTTGCTTACAAAATGCCTAAGGCTAGAAGGCCAATTCAAACAATAGCGAAAATACATCAATACAATCTAAGATAACCAGCAAACCATTTCTAAAATCTTTACTGCCTATATATGAAAACCAACTATTCTGCCTCTGTTACTTTTATCAAAGATGTTTCTTTCTGTTGTTCTTACACTGAGCCTCATAGTAAACCTAATTTTGATCTGTTTGCTTTTTAATATTCAATTAATTTTTAAAGCTTAAATATACTGTGCTCTGAAGAAATTCTTGAGCTCAAGACTTGGTATTGAATGTTAACTTTCTTGATTTCTCTCATCTCAGGGAACTTCTAAATAAGTTTAATTATCACTTTAATTCTAGAATAACCAGGAAGATGATAAACACTCTTAATATAGCTTCCTTTAGGAATAAAACTAAAGGTTCTGATTAGAAATATGTCTTTAAAACTCCACAGAATAATATACTTATAAGGACTTTGACGCCTATTTTCAGCTAGGTTCACTGTACCAAAGGTTTCAGTGTCTTTATTAAACCACAGAAAGACTTCTAAGGCTGAATTGACTCTTCTTTCTCACCATCCTTCCTTCCTGTTCTCATTTCCAGCCAACATGTCCTGCTGAAGAACTGTCTTTGGAATTAGGAAAATCTTTTGTCTTAAGATATGTGGCAAAACGTTACTTCTTCACAAATAAGCTTGTGGTCATACAGGCAGGGTTTTCCCCCCATGCTCTTGCTATAGTGATTACTGTATTCTGCACTGGGGTCTGTCTCCAGGACCTTTCAAGGCCTCTGAGGATGAACTAAACAGAAGTCTGGGACTCAGAAATGTCCTTAAGGTTGCTCTCAGTGGGAACTGTGCAGCTAACTTCTTTAAGTCTTTGAGTGTTCTTATTTACACCCTCCAACTAAGCAGCAGTAGCACACTCATCTCCCAGGTGGATAGATAATCCATAAATATCGTTTATCACTGTTTGTAAACAGTGATGCTTTACTAACAATCACTTGTGCTCATCAGTCGAGGTCCACAGCCATAGCTGCTATTTTCTAAACTGGTTCATAAGACTGAAACATTACTAAAATGAAGACAGAAGGGCTTTCCTTATCTGCCTTTACAATATAATTTATATATGAACAATGTCAGCAGTGTAAATGAACTCAGAGAAAGGACACAATATTTTCAGTGTTGCTCTGGGTGATTAGATGACAATAAAAATTACCTTTCCATATGAACCTTGTCCTAATACTTTCAACAGTTCAAATTGAGAAGGATCTGCTTTTTCAAAACCTTCCTTGACATGATGACTGATGTCTATTTCCTTCACAATACCTTCTTCCTGCAAAGGAAAAAAACCCAAAAAAAACAAAACCCCCAAATTAGAGCCATTATCTTAAGGAAACATATTGTTTATTAAAAATCTTGTCTTCTGTAATGCTACAATCATGTAGCAAATTTTGAAAATAGAAACAAATGCTTGTCTAAATATTCCATGTGCCTCTTACCAGCTGGGGAGGGTACTTGTCAGGGCATCCAGACCTGGCACTTATGTTTACTAAGCCTGAAGATATGACTTGTGTAATCTGAAGACAGATTACACAAACTGAAGCCAAAAATACACTGCAGAGCTTGGTGTGCCCATCAGAGACCTTGATAGCAGAGTGGCATATACTCAAATCTGCACTAGAGAGGCTCCATCACACTTCTCTCCACATACTTTCTCAGCTTCCCCTTAAATCATCATTTAAGTCAATCTTAAAAAGCTTCCTGAGTCCTAAGCAGTAATTCTTCTAATGACTAGGCAACCAGGAAAGACATTGCTAAAAGTGCCTCTTCCTATTTACCTCAAAAATTGGAATGTTACTGCTGGTAACCATTTAAACAGAAAACAAATTAATGATTAGATATAAAATGAGATGGTGGTGGGAGAAGACTGACACACAGTTTGTTGCTTGCAAGAATTAGTTTTTTACGCTTTGGGTTTGTCCAGGTTCTTTTGTGAAAATCTTTCCTCTGTCAACAGATGCACATTCCTCAAAGACATCAGTAGAACTAGGACTTTCATCTTGCAAACTGTGGCATATGGCATTAGTTTCAGGGTTTTTTTCCATGCTATGTTGGCATGTTCCTCTAAAAAGAGAACAGCTGGGTCACATGAGACCCAGAGGGACTGCACAGGGTTTACAGCAACTCAGAAAGTCACTGAGCTGAAAAGAAACCTGGAAGAAAGAACCTGCTCCTCAAGGACACAAAGATAAGGAAAGACAATACTTATGCACCTTTTTATTTCTGTAGTGTTTTTTACAACTACATTTGAGCTTTTTGGTTTGTTTGGCTTGGTTTTTTTTTTAAAATATTTTTCCAAACTACTTGTTCTAACTTCTCCACAATAAAAATATGATTTTCAGTACAAAACTTTTTTTTTATCATCTCCCAGTTTGAAGGGACTTACTCATTTAGGAATAAGTTTGAATATATCTGCATCCAGCAAAAATAATTGCAATCTCACAACCATTTTTATGTGGACTTTTCCTGCAATTTTCCTTTCTCCCCCTAAAAAATCCTTATAATACCTAGAAAAATAACATTTATTTTCCACTCTTAAAAATTAATGTTGAGAAAATAGAAATAACATCCTAAAAATAAAAATGCATTAAAAGCCCAAAACATTTGGCCAAAACACATTCTGTGCAAAATAAGAATAATTTTGATTTTCTTCTCATCCAGAAAAATTGCTGTAACTTTCTACTACCTGTAATTTGTCAGATACATGGTTTGCATTGCCCAGATTACTTTCTATATTGTAGTTTCAACCCTCCTCTTCCCTACCCTGCCTCTTAACACTCACATAATTTTGAACTACATAGTCATATAGTGGACAATATCCTCTTCTTGGTTTGGAAAGCTTCCTGTATTTCACTCATGCTACCACAATCATGGAAAATAATCATCATCTCAGAGCAACTCCTTTTTCTGATCGTAATTCCTATAGTTAAAGGTTTGCCTGGAAGGAAATGTGTGAAACCAATAAACAGCTTTCACAGAGAAATTTAAAGGATTTCTAAGTACAGAACTGCCAAGATCTCTCTGTGCATTTTTCTTACTTTAATTGCTGTGTGAGATAGCATAACTTTCTGATATTAAATATATAATATTTTTCAATTATTTTGTACTCCAGTGTGAACCATGAAGTCACTTTCAGCTACATTTGCAATTTAAAAGATTAGTGAGTTTCAATTCGCCCATTCATACTACTCATCAAAATCAAAGACCTACAACCCCAAGCATATTTCTCATTGTAATACTAAATTTAATATAACATCTTTAGGCTCATGAAACATGTTCAGTTACAGGAATATATTGAAATATATTACAATGATGAAAATTCAGCTTGCTGGAAGAATGCTTAAAAACTTCTTGCACTCCTATAGAATAGCATAAATGATTTATAACATGCAATAAAAATAGTACTTAAATTGTATGCATCTTTAATGAAAAGCTCAGGGGGGAAAAAAGAGTATTTACAAAAAATGGAACCAAATACAAGGCCTAGCAATATTTATCAGAGAAGCACACATTTTAAAGACAGAAGAAAAATGCTAGAGTTTGTAATGATTTTTTTTTTTTGTGATTATCAAAATATAAGAACATTAGTTAGAAGAGGCTTCTGGGGGTCATCTAGTTCAACAGTCCTGCCCAAAATATCACTGACACTTGATCATATCAACCAGCTGTTTTTTTCCACTGTGGTTTTCAGTGTGTCAAATGCTGAAGCTTGAGCCACTTCCTACAAAAGATTATTCTCTTTCAATTTGCCCACAGTCCTGTCGAACTGGCTGTTCCATGCGCCCTTAGGAGGAAGCAGGATATTTTTCTAGGAAGGTAGGATTTCCTGTGGATTTCCTGTGGTTGCCTTGCTAGAAAAGGCCAGCAAGGCAGCACCAGAGAAAAAGCATGCCAGACAGCTGTTTTTTCACCCATCATCACCACAGTGGTGTCATTTGTGAGCTGTCTAAGAGGGAGATAGTATTTTAGCTGGGATGGCAAATCCACTTTCCCCTGGAGCAGAAAGCCAAACTGGAAGTGCTTGAGACTGAAGACAGACACAGATCCTTAAAGGAAATACATGCTGGTGTGTTTGCACACATGCACCCATTTGCCTGAATGGATTTCTATAATCTTAATACTTACTGGCTGCATAAATCACGGAATAACTTCTATTTGTTTGTTTTACCTTTCCAGCTAAAAAACCCAACACAAACCAAACAGTCTTATAGTCTTTATTTACATTCTTACTTCCAGGGGATTTTCTCATTTGAAGTCTTCCTGTATTATGCTAATATGGAATATGGCACAATTTTTCTCAGGTATTGATGATCAGAGTGAAACCCAAACTGTCAAAGCACAAGTATATTTGGGCAGGTGTCCCAATTATTTTGGTCTGGGTTGCATACTAGAAACTTCTCTAATAGAGATTTATTTTTCACTGTTCCAGCAAGTCCACCATATCTGCATCAGCAATTTTCATAACAACAATAAAACTGAGACAAGAGAATCACAATACAGACAAAGCCTGCACACTGAAGAAGCTGTTTTGATGGAAAGGATTTCACTCTGGAAAAAAACAACCAGCCAACTTCAAAACTGGTTTTGATCAGTGAAGTTGGTGGAATCAAAAGGGAATTTTCCACAGTTTGATCTTGCAACAGCTGTGCACACCACCCCAGGCTCTTGCTCCCTGCTGACTTCTCCCACACTGCATTAGCAGGAAGGCTTGACTTGATGAAGTTTAATCTTTTGTAAACCTCTCTAAAATTATGTTCACACAAAAAACCATCATCCTGTGACAAAAGTGAGATGGGTGTTCTTGGTGGCTTGAAGAAAGCACGTGGTCAGGCAGGATAGACTAGAGAAGGGGGGGGCAATAAATTGGAAGGATAAAAGAGAAGTGGAGAGTGCTTCTCTATGTTAATACAAGAAAGATCTATTCTGGGTCTGATTCTATACTTCATTATTCACTTGAAGGCTTCCCCCAAAGCTGGCAGAAGGTTTGGACATAAAATAACTCACTATTAAAATGGAAAAACAATTTTGATCTCTTTTCCTCTGGGACATAGGAGAAGAGAGCCTCTGTTCTTGCCCTGTGACTGTAGATAACACAGACACATCTGCTTTGGTGCTTCTGGAAGGCAACAGGTTCCTGTAGCGTTGGTCGCAGCTCCAAGACTTCATGCAACCTTGAAGAAAGAGAGGCACTAATGCTCAGTGGCTGTTTGAGAGCAACCACAGAAAACTCTTCTAACTGCAACAATACTTCTCAACCCACTATCTCATGTCAGAGTAGGATCAAGAAGTGTAGGGGTATGGATTTGGCAGTGGAGTACAAAAAGTCATTCAAAATGGCATGCCTTCCTGGAGAGCAGCTCTTCAATTTACTATCTTGCCTGTTCCACAGCCTCCCAGCAAATATTATGGAAAAAAAACTCCTAGAAAATGGACAGGTTTAACAGCTTTTGGAGTCTTGTCTGGTTACTCCCCAACTAGTTTCTGAACAAACAGAGCTAAGGTCACCAAACAAAGAGACCACCTTAACTGCCAGATATATTTCACCAACACACAAAAAACTTTCCTCACCAAAACTTCCTGAAATATCAGGAGGGGGAGATTATCCAAGAATCAGCTACTTTTACCAACAGAAAAATGTATGCTACCATATCATATACAAAAAAGCTATGGTGCTAATTTTATATGATTATTGTTTTGAAAAATCAGCAAAAAAGGATTCCCAGTTGTATTCCTTGCCTGGTCACTTCCTCGGTTGCAGAGGACCAGGACTGGTGTACAGGTATGGCTGTAAAGGGTAAGCTTCATTTTCCAACAAAAATATGTGCACTTCTGATGTGCAAGTTTTACAGTCTTTAGGCTTGTGTGCTTTAGGATCTGAGGTCCATGAAGAAATCAACAAAAATGTGGCAGGAGGACATAAGAAATAATGACAATTCAGAAGACATTTTACTGTTGTTCAAGATAACCATTATTTGTCTACAGCATATGCTCAGGATACAGACTTTATTTTGTTACCAATCTTCCAATTTGGCAGGTTACCACCTACCATAAACCCAAATCACAATTATTTAACTACCAAGTATCACGGGCAACACATTTCAAAAGAATACGATTCATTGAGAATACATGTTTAAAACTGTGATATGGGAATAGTTAGGACAGGATGTGTCTGATAAAGATGAGCCCAGGTTTCTACCTCTGTTTCACAGTTTCTAATCTGGCTTAGTCCATAGGAGAGTAATTTGTGTCACAGACATAACAGGCTATTCAAAT